CTTTGTGATGTATCAAGAGCCACAGTATCCAGGGTAATGTCAGCATACCACCAAGAAGGACCAACCACATCCATCAGGACTAACTGTGGACGCAAGAGGAAGCTGTCTGAAAGGATGTTATGGTCTAAAACCAGGTGTTTCACTTTCATTGTCTAACCTCTGTAGTTGGGTGGGTAGTTAGTTGGTAACCTCTAAACAGGTGAGGGGTAATGGACATAATAAAGTAAATCAAAGAAGAGTTACAAAATTCAGTTTCTTCAAAAAATTATCAAAAGCTGGTAAAGAGTTAAAACTAATAAACAAAATATTATGACACAAAGTAAGAAAAAAAACATAAAACTGTTGAAGTGTTTTCTTAACAATCCCTGTAAAATAAAGTGGAAGTTGCCATGCATAGAAAGTGTTTTACTGCTCTCATTGTTAATCCATTACAAACTGCATTAAAGTCTTTTGTCTTTGTGTGCAGGAGTTATCACGAGGTATCAAGTATTTCTTCGTGGGCCGATGGAAACACTAAACCCAACAAGTTTAATGGATCAAAAGAAAGTGTTCAACAGCATGGGTTGGCTGGATCTGAGTGTTGATGCAGATGGAAAACAAACCAACAGTACACAGGCTCCCCCCAAAAACAGTACAGTTGTAGAGGGTCTGCAGGCATTTTCAACCTACCAGCTTAGAGTTGTGAGCATCAATGGTGCAGGAAGTGTCTCATCAGAGTGGACCACAGCTCACACACTGGAGGGAGGTGTGTATCTGTCATTTTTATGGTTATGCTTATGATATTGGGGTATTATTTTTTTATATTTTAGGAGGCCTTCCTTAAAAGGCCTCTACTAGAAAGGTACATAGAAACAAGCCACTTAAAGATTTGCCAAGTAACAGGAACAAAAAACTGTGGTCCAGATCTGCAATAAAAATAAATATTTTCTCTTTTTAGATTTTTAAAAATCAAGTTAACCCAATTAAAAAGAAACCTTAAAGAAAAGAAACGGGAAGGGAACTAAAAACCGCACATGGGGGAGGGTAAACTCATTAAGATATTTGAATTTCAAAGAGATGATATGGCTCATTAGGACTAAACGATTGCCTCCAACATCACTCTGAGCTGTGTGTCTGGATAACAAGCATGTGATAACACCATTTTAGATGTGGAATATGTGCCAGACTTTTTTGCACATACATATGCTTTGTGGAAGGCAAATATATGACAGTAGATATGTTGACCATAAATCACATTTCATAGCATATTTCACAGTTTGATGCTATCAACAGTGGAATAAAGAATCCGTCTCTCTAATCTGCTGTGTAATTGTGGCTATCGCAGTCGTAAAATTACAGAACACTCAAATCCATTAAGTCCACCTAATACCCAGAAAGTTTTAATTTTTAGAGTATTTTTCTATTTAAAAGTATATATTGACTATTGTTAGAAAAAATAAATTGGCAAAATGAGGTTAACAAGAAAGTATTATTGTTATTTTTTTAACCATGCGGACAGATAAATCACGCTAAAAACTTGTTTCTATATTTAAAAACATTGGGCCTCATGCAAGAACCGTTCGTACACACAGATTTGTTCTTAGGTGGTGCATACGAGTGATTTAGGAGAATTTGTGGCATTCACCAATGTTTTCATATTCTAAGATTTTTTTCAGATAAGAACAAAATTCATGAGTGGTCCAGACCTGTCGTATATTTTACCAGCAGTCAGTCTGCTGTTATCCAGACGGGTTTTCCTCCATAGTAACTTTATATTTAGTTAGTTTGAAGATATTTTGAGTTGAAAATAAATTACACTCCATAATTATGTTGACAATAGGCTATTCTGCTTGAATTAGAGTTATAATTTTAAATGTAATAATTTAGACTAACAGACGTTCCCAGACCAGAGGGGATACATAATCCCTCCAGCGACTCCTGGATTTTCTCCAAAGTGCCAGACATATTTTGAAATCATTTTAAAATGCTTATTTCAGAACCGCAACTGAGACCACTTGAGACTGCGTGGGGGCTTACGGTGCGCAGCGCTGTGTCTTCTGAATAAATGAAAATGATTTAACACAGTTGTTTATACTTTTAGCAGCTCTTTTTATTCCACATC